TACTAGAACTAATAAATGAACTCATCAAGTTTGGAGGATACAGAATCATTATACAAAAATCAACTGTATTTCTACATATTAGCAATAGACAAAAATTAAAATTTAAGAATTAAAAATTAATTTTAATTATTAATTAAAAAATTGAAACTGTATTGAAAAATAAAAAATAACCACAGGTAATAACATAAAAGATAGAAAGACTTATACACTAAAAACTACAAAAGATTACCAAGAAAATTAAAGAAAACTTATATAAATGGAGAGATATACCCTGTTTGGGGTGGAAAAATTCAATATTGTTAAGATTAACCTGTAGATTCAACATAATCCAAACCTGATCTCCAGAAGACCACCAGAGTCGTTTTTTTGTTTTTTTTTTGTTTTTTTGAGAAAATGACAAACTGATTCTAAAATTCATGTGGAAAAAATAAATAAATAAATACAATTCATGTTCTGGAAACACAAAGGATCTAGAATAGAATACCAAAGAACCCTGAAAAAGAACAAAACTGGAGGACTAACACTAACCACCTGAATTCAAAAATCATCATACACTGGTAGTAATTAAAACAGCATGATATTGACATAAAGAAGGCCCAAGAGATCAATGGGACAGTCCATAAATAAACCCACACACATATGGTCAAGTGGTCCTGACAAAGACACAATGGCAGGAAGTGGAGAAAACATAGTCTTTTCAACAAATGGTGCGGGAACAACTGGATAGCCATATGAAAAAAGAATGAACCTGGATCCATACTATGCATCATAAATAAAAAAAAGAATAGAGAATGTGGGCGCCTGGGTGTCTCAGTTGGCTGAGTGTCTCCCCTGGCTCAGGTCATGCTCCCAGGGTCCTGGGATCGAGCCCCATGTCCAGCTCTCTGCTCAGCGGGGACCCTGCTTTTCTCTCTCCCTCAGCCTGCCATTCCCCCTGCTCATGTTCTCTGTCAAATAAATAAATAAAATCTTAAAAAAGAATACAAAATGATGACACGGATCCCATGGATCACAGATCTACATGTAAGACCTAAAACTATAAAACTTTGTTTTTAAACTACGAAACTTCTAAAAGAAAGCATGAGAGAAAACCTCTGACTTTGTGCTAGGCAAAGATTTCTTAGATAGGAACACCGAAAGCAAAAATCCGTAGAACAAATGGATAAACCGGATTTCATCAAAAAGAAAAACTGCTCTTCAAAAGACACTGTGGAGAGAATGAAAAGTCACAGACTGGGAGAAAATAGAGGTGAGGGGCGCCTGGGTGGCTCAGTCATTAAGTGTCTGCCTTCGGCTCAGGTCATTATCCCGGGGTCCTGGGATCGAGCCCTGCATCGGGCTTCCTGCTCAGCGGAGAGTCTGCTTCTCCCTCTCCCACTCCCCCTGCTTGTGTTCCCTCTCTAGCTGTCTCTCTCTCTCTGTGAAATTAATAAATAAAATCTTAAAAAATATATATAGGTGATAAAGGAACTATATCTAGAATATACAAAGAATTCTCAAAACTCAACAAATAAGAAAACAACCTAATTTTTAAAATGACAAAGGATTTGGATAGTTCAAAGCAGATATACAGATGGCAAATAAGCACATGAAAATATGCTCAACATTACCAGTTATTAGGGAAATGTATATTAAAACCATAATGATATATATATTACATACCCATCAGAATGGCTGAGATTTAAAAAACTGACAATACTAAGTGTTCACGAATATACAGGGAGAAATTAGAACTCTCATACACTGCTGGTGGGAATGGAAAATGGTACAACTACTTTAGAAAACAATTTGGCAGTTTCATGATAAGGGAATATAAAGAGACATGAGACTTACGGGTGATAGATATGTCAACTGCCTGAATTACGGTTATGTTTTCATAGGCATATACATATGTCAAAACTATCAAAGTATACACTTCCTATATGTGCAGTTTACCTAACTAAAGCTGTTGGGGGAAAAAAAAGCTCTATTATAGGAAAAAACATCGAAAACAGTGGCTGAGACACAGATGGAAAGAAGGATCTGAAACAGGGGTGCCTGGGTGGCTCAGTTGTTAAGCGTCTGCCTTCGGCTCAGGTCATGATCCCAGAGTCCTGGGATCGAGGCCCGCATCCGGCTCCCTGCTCCGCGGGGAGCCTGCTTCTCCCTCTCCCACTCCCCCTGTTTGTGTTTCCTCTCTCGCTGTGTCTCTCTCTGTCAAATAAATAAAATCTTTAAAAAAAAAATTAAAAAAAAAAAGAAGGATATGAAACAATACAAGATGAAGCTAGAGTACTGCGGTCTTTCACCTTAGAGCAATGAGAAGTAATAGCTAAGCTTTAAGCAAGGGGGTAATGTGATGAAACATGAATTTTTAAAAATGATGATAACTACGGTTGCAGTGGAGACCAAGATTCTGGGAGGTGGAATGACAGGGAAAACAGTCCTGAGGTTATTTCAGTATTCTAGGAGAAAAATAATGGTAACCCGACCTTGGGTGAAGGCACAGAAGAGAAGCAGAGTTAACAACACATCAGGTGTGCCATTCCCATGACAAAACATAGAGTGGAAATTATAGCCCTTTGGCTGAGAGTATTCAACAGTTCTCAGTTTTCATATAAAACGTATTTCTGAGATGAGTACCGCATGAGTGTTGTGTGGTACAGCACTATACAAGATGTGCACGTATTACTACGGTGATATACGTACAAAGGCTTTATATTGATACAATGGTCCTACCTTTACAATCCTTGCCAACTTGTGCAGGTAGCGACATGCAACTCATATAATTAGAGCAAGGCAACTTGGAATCCTCTGAAGCTGATGACTCAGTTAAGTCAAGGTCATCCATAAAATTCATTTGCTTTTTGACCTACAAATAAAAAATACCATTTCAAAATGTCCCCCAAATATTCATGAAATATACCAAGTGTAGAGAGATGATCAATACCCATCTTTTTATAGGAGCAAAAACATAGGTACTTTTTAAAAGAACTGATTTTTATCAAAATGACCTTTATCAATAATTAGTACTTCTGAATAACTTTTTCACAATAAATGTCTATACAACAAAGGAAGATTTTCTATTTTTTCACTATACCTTTCCGAAAGTAATTTCTTACCATGGAATAACATTTCTAATAAGTATTATTTATCAAAGTAATATAAGAAAGTGAAAATTAAAAAATTCATAAATGAAATAAAATTATATATATATTTTTTACCTCTTTCTTTTCATGAGATCTTTTCTTTGCAGGTCTAAGAAAAAAAAAAACAATTCCTTTCAGGCAAGTATTAAATACTTAAAATACAAAGAATATCTAAATCATAGCTAAACAATATTATTAATAATATTAACAAAGCATTAAATTTAGATAAAATGGACAAAAAGCAAAGGAAAATCATGTTACTTGCATTATTTGATACGAAGAAATATACCACATTTTTTGTTGTCATTTTCAATAAAAACAAGCTTTTACTGGCTCTAAAAACTATCTGGAAAGTGCAAGTTAAGTTCTTATATGAAAGAAACCCTTTTTTAACAATCATGATACTAGTGTTTTGAGGATTTACTGTGCAACTACTATGCCTCATTATGAACGCTGTACACATCCTAAAAGTATTTTAAGCCTCACAACAATCTTATAAACATAGGTAATCATATTAGGTATTTTACACAGGAAGAAAATGAGGCACAGAAATAAGTAACTTCCCCAAGCCCATACAGCTGGTCAGGAGTAGACCCAGAATTCAAATCCAGGATATGTGCCTTCAAAAACATGTGTTTTACAATATGTGGTGAAAGTAATATTTAAGTCTTTCTAACTAATATGATAGCAAATGAATCTACTATTATTCCATTTCTAGCTATAATTATACTCTATGAATCTTACACATATTTTTTAAAATAAAAAGACTTCATACCTAGGCAATATTGAAAATCCACTTTCAATAAACTAAAGATCTGCTTCTTCTAAAGAAGTTCATCAATGGCATTCATTTATTCATTCAACTGTTTATTCACAAATACATACTTATGGAGCACACAGTATGTGTCAATGACACTGTTGGTACAGGAACCATGGCTTTTATAATTTAGAACTTTTATAATCTAAAAGTAATAATCTAGGATAGATTAATAGTTTATTTTTCAACTATAAATAAAGTCTTTCCCCCTTCCCCAGAATCTAAACAAATATTAACTTAATGCAACCAGATACTTCAAAGTCCCTAACAAAACCATAGCTATTCATGATACTGTCAAAGGCACTGAATATCTAAAATCATCAAGGAATGATCAGTACCACTCAGAATGGCCCAAGAGTTTGTATATTTACTATTATCTATATATTTTTAAGTCTATGAATGATAGTATCTGCACATTCAATTATATGAGAATACTCCACTGTGGAACCCATTCTGAATAAACAACTTCTTGCCACGGGCACCTGGGTGGCTCAGTCGTTAAGCATCTGCCTTCGGCTCAGGTCATGGTCCCAGGGTCCTGGGATCAAGCCCCACATC